AAGTTTAGATTTTAAATTTTAAATGATTAATTACGTATGGTGTATGACGCAGTAGCCAATCAATCAGTCAGGTGTGGAGGACGACATAGCAGTCAGTCAGGTGTGGAGGACGACGCAGCAGTCAATCAGTCAGTCAGGTGTGGAGGACGACGCAGTAGTCAATCAGTCAGTCAGGTTTGGAGGACGATGCAGCAGTCAATCAGTCAGTCAGGTGTGGAGGACGACGCAGCAGTCAATCAGGTGTCCCACTAAGGGCTGACCCACGGGACACACACCACCTCCAACAACCACATTTACTCTCACTCAACACTAACACTAAACCAACACTCACAACCACTGTAAACACCACTGAAAAACACTCGTCGCTAAATACACAACCTCTAAGGCGAGGAGCAGCACTTACACTTGTGGAGTTGTTGAGTGAGTTGTGACACCATGATGTCCTCCTCGACATGTGATTGGACGCTGCCGGGGAAGTTAACGCAGACTTGAAACGAGATTGATGGATGCCCAGCGAGGTGTAGGCCAAGAAATTTTATAATTTTTCAATCTAACTCTTACATCTACAACAAGAATCTCGGATATTAATAATCGTGTTAATTTGTTTATGAAAATATATGATTAACCAACAAGAAAATATGTTTGTGCATCGATATAATCTTATTGTTGAATAAGGGAGAGAAAGAAAGAAAGTGTGTATGGTTATTTCCAAGTTTAATCATTCACTTCGTCTCATTTTCGTTGACATATTTGTACACATTGGTTTATGAGATATATTATTCCTTGTCTCCGCTATCTTTAGTTCATTGTGTTTGCAGTAGATGTGAATTAGTGATAATCTGACTTAAAGAGTGGATGGGTGGTAGCTGTGGGTGGATGAGAGTTGGAGTGCCCTTAGCTGTGAATTGGTGGAAGTTGTCAGGAAATAGTAGTTGGTGGGTGGTGGTAGTCGATAGGGTGAGAATGTGGCCTCTACTTGTTCTGCAACCTACGCACCAAAAAACAGGTTGCAAAAAACAGTAATCTAAATAAGAAATTTATTTTAAGTGTAAATTGGCAACAAAATTTTACACACACACACACACACACACACACACACACACACACATTCTGACCCCAACTGTTTTTTGCCCTTCCAGATTAACAGGGTGACACTAGATGGACGCTTTCCAGTTTAAGGAGAGTCGCAAGCAACCTGATGAGACAACACTATCTGCCTCATGACAGAAGAGAGTACAGGTGCTCAAAAACGTAGCGATATACTCTAGACTCAAAAGTTCTATCTCAAGATTTGTTGATTTTTTCCAAAGCCTTTTCCATAATTACTTTTGATAGTAAACAACTTTATCAGTTCGTTTCATCACCACGAAGGCCTGGTTAAATTCAAAAGATTTTCGGGTATAATGCAACCTTTCTATACGCCTCCTTCATGCCCTACATTTATGGTCGTCCAGGAGTCTCTCTTCCGTTTACAGTAAATCAGAGGTTTTCAAACTGGGGTTCGCGAGCCCCCAGGAGTACGCAGGAGGGTTCCAGGGGGTACGTGGAGGGCTGGCGAAAATCAATTAAGAAAATACTAATTTCACCAGATTTAATTCATGAAGTGATATAAATTTAATGTTATATTTACAATACGGAAAGTAGCTTCTCTCCAAGCACCAAATATGTTTTAACACTGCCATTCTATAATGAATTAGTGTTAATGTAGTATCGCTCTATATTCAGTGTCTCAGTAATGGTGGTACGGGTCGATGGTCAGGTAACTCAGGGACTACCTGGTGAGAACAAGTTTGAGAATCTCTACACTCAGTTGGTCATCAAAATTGAAGCCGGGCCAAGAGTCGAGCAGAAGTAAACGAAAGTTGACTCCCTAACTGAGAGGCTTAAGTGGTCAAGTTTTATCAATAATCAAGGGTAAAGTCTGACAAGTTGTGCAGGAGCAGAACGAGGCTTAGCAGCATCACAAAGTTCTTTTTCATAGCACTGGTCCATCTTCAAGATATCTCGTCAAAAGATGTTTTTTTTTCTACGAGGTTAGTGAAACATCCTGCTGGTGGGGACCAATTGGTTTCAACAGTTTTTAGATATTTCTTGACCACTGTACTGCGGAAACGAGAGATCAACACTTGAACCGAAGGATTTGTGTCTCCAGGATATTTCAAGTGAGAAAGACCACAAGTAGTCGATGAATCATTCTTGAGTTATATTGTCGAAAAAATTAATTCCATATTTAAATTTTACTGTGATTACTCCACAGTTTCGAACTCAAGGTAACCATCGAATCAGGTTTTCAATTCAGATTTACTAAGCGAGTAAGTTACCATACGTTCAGTGCATTGTCTTTTAGGATAATGTTCCTGCGGCTAAGCACTACAGTAATACCGGGTACATGCAAGGGGGCCCTGGCAGGTTCTGTTGAGGTGGTGACCTCCGCCATGAAAGGAATCTTGTCCTTCAGTGCTTCATCACAGGGAACATCAGCTCTCGAGGATCAAGACTCCTCTTGTGTTAAGGGTAGGAATATGACAAGACTTCTCTATGATGTTACTCGCTTCAGTGTGTCTTGTCCCCACCTGGAAGCCAAATCGGTCAGAAAATGTTCTGCCGAGGGACAGAGCTTGGAAGCAACAAAGGATATCATTGTGTGTATTCACAATTACGTTCAGAAAAATATGAACATGTACAGTAGTTAATTCATATTAGTCGTTACATAACAAATTTTACTGAGAGAATTACCGAAAGATCTAAGTGATCAGGAACTTCAGTGCAACGGTCATAGTTTCTTAGATTTCAAGACGACGACTGGGTGTCAGAGGAGTGACCCATTGAGGCGGTCTGCTGTACTACGGTCCTGCACCTTCTTACTTTACTGCACTTGATCTCTTTCATAACTAACTCGTGTATACATTAAGCCATTAAGTTGTAAACAAGGAGTTCCCCTAATGAGCTAAAACTTGTTAAAATGACATTGCTGATGAAACGGATTCTATGTAAACTTAAGGAGATGGCAGTTTAATTTATTACCAGGAAACTTTCTTGGGGTTCTTTGATTTAAAAAAAAACAAAGGTTTTGATTATTTAATTACAAGTGCCAACGCTATTTGTGCCATTATTATGTCTATTTTTTTGTCTTTCTTTACGGTTAAAATCCTAAAATACACAATATACAGAAGTTACCACCTTAGAATGGTCTTCCGTCAGTGTGTGATCTCGTGATAAAATAAAGCATGAACTAACAAACTTCGTCTTTTATATAATAACATGGCACACAAAAAATTGTCGCCCTTGCAAAGACTGGGTGCTTGGAGGTACCCAGGTGGATTATATCAGTAGCAGTACTGCTTTGGCCAACGTCTTGGGCGCAAGTGTGAAATTGGCCAGGGCATCCTGGAACGTAAGCCTGTTGTAAGCAATGTAGGGGCCATCGACGGATTTTTCTCTGTTGGCGGAGGCACTATGGGTGTGGAAGTGGACTTACGAGCCACCCAATCAGAGGAAGGTAAATTTATGGTGACTAAAGGACGTACTGTTGGCTGTGATGCTCCTTCAACACGTAGGTTCCCTTGGGAGAGGGATGACCTTCCAGGGTACCTCCTAGAATGATGGTTATTCCGATTTTCCTCCATGGTGCTGTTGATGCCACACCGTGAGAGGCTCCACGACGAAGGTGAGTCCAGCGAGACTGAGGCCAAGAAGGAGGAGCAAGAAGGCTCCCTGGAGGTGTGTGAAGGTGAGGGACCTGTTGTTGTTGTCTGATTCTGTTTCTTTCTCGGCTTCCTGCTTCTGCTTCTTTTGGGCCTTCATTTGGGTTTGGAACAACAGGTCCTCAGCCCACTTTTCATACAGTCCGGCCTGTTAAAACACATAAGGACCTAAATTCGTCATATATTACGAAAAATATGATTGTTACACATACAGTTCTATCCGAAGACATTTATGCGAAAGTAAATGATCTACCATGACCCATCCCATTAACAGTGATGGAGGAGGCAGGTTTATTCAGTAGGGAAGGAGGTTGAAGAGTTGAAATAAGAATAAAACGATGATGTATCAGTCTTGGCCCCAACTTATCTTTTTAAAAACATCAAAAGCCGTCAGAGACAAACTAACAATGAAAATTACAGTAGGTTCATGTCTGGCAATTTGAAAAAGGGTAGTGGAGTAAACAACATAAAAATTAGTTAAACTTCTTAGTATACTGAATTCAGTTAAAAATGTCAAATGTGACTGTACACAGAGTTGAACTTACCTCTTTGACGGCCATGAGGCAGCGGTCTATGGCAGGCTTGTAGGGAGCGTCGTGGGGGATGGGAAACGCAGACTGAGTAGGAAAAAGACCGTCCCGGCCAATGTATAACTTATGGGTCCCGTCCGCTCTGATGAAATACTTGGCTATCAGTAGCTGCTGGTAGCGTCGATTATCCACATGCGCTTGTCTGTGAGACAAGTACAATATAGGTAAAACATGATCATTAGCAGATAAGAAATGTTAAGGGCAATAAGATCAGTAATGTGGACGATTTTAACTTAAAGATTTTTTTTACAAACTATATAATGAGACTGCCTGATGCTTTTGATTTTCAAAAACTTAAATTGTAAGACTTCTCTCGCCACACACAATGTCCGCCACCGTGGCAGAAACTTCACCGAGGAGGTTTTCTTAAAAAACATTACGCTTATATCTTGATACTTGCTTATTAATCGTTGAAATAATACATATATTTTTAGTGATTCTATAAACTTATACGCCACCCTATATGAGGTAAAGACGATCTCTCTGTATTTCATGTTCACACAATAAGGTTAAGTAACACAAGTGCGCAGTTTGTCTCCGGTAATAGTTACTGACGGTTTGCTATAATTCTCTGGCGTATTTGAACAGTTGTGGCAGAAAAATAAGAAACAATATTCAAGAAAAATTGAACGAAGGGGATGTGGGTAGGAGCCCCTAATAAGAAAAATCCACGAAAACAATGGATCGCCACATTTATCTTCATATATAACAAATTTCTATAACTCCTCTTGGCTACTGGCTATGCTGGACTCCACACCCTACATAAGAGTGTACTGGCGGAGTGAACTGAAGAAGGGTATGAAGGTGTGTTCCTCAATAGATGTAACCAGTAGTTGGTTTGCTCACGACCAACAGCCTTCACAAAAAAAATCTGATAAGATCTCTGGAAATACAGGGGCTAAATGTCTCCTGAACTAATGGAAGATGAGATTTTGATGTTTCTCTAAGCAAAAGGACTCAGTTAAGGGAACTAATTTGATAAAAAATAACAGTGTTACATTTAGAATTTGGGGAAAAAAGACAAATTCATAATGCTAGACAAAGAGTTACTACACTTCATAGACCTTTAAATCAATAAACAATTACATTATTGAAGTCCAATATCCCTTCATGGCAGTTAAGCTATTCCTCAACAACATACTGTAAGCCGCCTCACCACCACCCTTGTCACCAATGAAGTCTTCTAGTGCTGTGATGATATGTAAGTGTAGTCTATAAGTAACTACCTTTCTAATTTGTGAAAGCCTCTAGAACAGGGGTTCTCAACCAGGGGGGAATTCCCCCCAGGGGGGGAATTCAGGTTTTCGGGGGAATGTATATGTACTAATATGGAAAAAATAAAGGATTTTCAGTATTATATGCATATTATTTGGAATGCACTTTTTAAGGCAGACAATCTTGGAAAGAAGGGGGAATGACATTCTGACATATGGTGAAAGGGGTGCATGGGGCAAACAAGGTTGAGAACCACTGCTCTAGAAGTAAACTCTTCTTACTAAGCCAAACAAAGGACTTACTTTCTCTGAACTGCTTGTTGTAGTCCAACTTCTGTTGACTTAACGATATGCATCAGCTGGCCCATTCTCTTTAACGCCGGAGAATCTGATTGCATGAATGTCTTCTTGAAGTCTTTTCCATATGATGGCATCGTTATCCTGCGTGAGTGAAGTAAGAGTTACTTTTTAGAAAACCATGTTGGTGTACAGTAAGTATAATACATACAATACTCAGGCGTTGAAGAGGAGCACTACCTGTCTACAGCAGCGACGAGCTCTTCAATTGTCTCTGGGCGGGGCGCTAATTCAGGTAGCATGAGGAAGGCGGTGAGGTTGCCACGGTAGGCAGTCCCGATGATAAAGGCGAACACCAGCCATGCCGCCACCATCACACGACTGGGATTGGTCTTACACAGTCGCTGTGGAAGACTCTGACCTAAAAGAATTCCTCCTAAGTCCAGTGCCACTACAAGTGCACTGATCTCTTCTCCACCCATCCTCGACTCGCTCACACGAATAATCTGAAGTAGTTACATCAGAATGTCTTAAAGCACTTACATAAATTTCTCAGTATAAGAAAAGTCTGTAGACTTGTTGTAATCCAAATGAGACATTGTTCTCGTCTCAGGCTGGTTAGAGTAAAATAGATGTTTCTTTAATTTATGTATTTGCTTCTCTTGACATAAATCATGTCACACAATATTGAACAGTTAGTTATATGTCAACAGTTAAACTTTGACTGACTCTCCTTGCTAGTGTAAATAGTATTATACCAATATATCTCAGAACTTCAGTGTAATGATGAAAATCTTTTGTTTACTTAGTGTGCTGACTCAGCATCTGCCTAGGACCACTGCAAGACAAAAATACGTGTCAAGCTTCTTTCAAGTGTGTAGACATTAACCAAACCTAGTGGAAGAGGAGCCGTTAGCCAGTAGCCTTGTATTTCAAACATACTGTATGCGTCTTCTTACCAGTAGCAGCGCTAGAGGGGCGAGGAGCATCGTCAGCACTATGGCTGCCCACACAACTGCCAAGAGCGGGTAGTAGAGTGACTGCCACTGAGGTTTGAGGCCTGGGTCTGCCATACTGAAATCTGCTCTACCTTGCAAGTGTACCCAAGCATAGTCGAAGCGCTCCATGCGAGCCAGCAACACAGTGTGATGCACCGCGGCCATGAAGGACAGTCGCTGCTCTACAAGCCCCGTAACCTTCAAAAACATAATAAAATAAAAGTAAATAAATGAAATAAATAAATTAATTAATTAATAAATATAAGTAAACAAATAATTAAATAAAATTACCGAACTTATTTTATATTCAACAAAAATTATTATGACGTTTTAATTAACCTGCACGTGGACAATGAACCAATGCTATGCGTCTGTAAATTCTTTCCATCAGGGCTGGGGTGTGATGTAGTGTAGTGTAGATATAGTAAAGCGTAGTGTGGGTGTAGCATGGCGTAGGGTGGGTGTAGCATGGCGTAGGGTGGGTGTAGCATGGCGTAGGGTGGGTATAGCATGATGTAGTGAGGATACGTGTAGCGTTGGTATAGCATGGCGTAGCGTGGGTATAGCATGGCGTAGCGTGGGTATAAGATGATGTATTGTGTGTAAAGGTGACTGACTCACCTCTGCCCAGGAAGTGGTGGGCATTATGTATACGGTGAAGTTGAGAGCGTCAGCAACAGTCACCAGGGTCATGTAGTCAGTGCCCGAGTACTGTGTTGTGTTATCAGGTCCCTTCACGGCGTCCCAGTACGGCGGGAACGGCAGGCCGGTCACGTTCACCTTGGCACCGTAGAAGCTGAGGGTGACCAGTTGCAGTCTAAATAAACTCTACGATTTTGGTAATATTAGGCATCTAATTGAAGGTTAAATAGATTAAGGGACTTCGGAGATCTAACACTTGTGTCACGTCTCGCCATTACATTTTGGTGGAAAAACACTGCCGACACTCGGGCGTCAGTCATCCTGTTCTCATTGCTGGAGACTTCAATGCCCACCATCCGACGTTCAATTCGACTTCTAAGAACGAACCAGGATGGTCAACACGAACTATGAACCAACAGAAGACCTTGAACAACTAAACCAGGATCTCACTGATGCTATACAACACGCAGCAGAGAACGCAATTCCCAAAACAAATCCCACAAATAGACAACACATTCAGAGTACATTCCCGACAGTTCCCTTACCCTGGAGGAGCGTCATTATTCTTGTGTCTATTTTGATATTTATTAATTCAAATTCTTGAGCATTTGACTATACCTGGCGTAAGACTGGAATTTTGTCATGACCAAGCCTATCCAGTTGATGTACATATTACATATAAAAATTAAGATTAATTATTACAAGCAAATATCTGTTGATACATGTGTTAAATTAACCACCATCCTCAAATCTGATATACAATAATTACTGACTTACTTTTCTGATACGTGAATTCACTGGGAACACACTAATTTATTCACGAGAGGAATTTCTAGTTAACATCTCGCTTATATAATTCACTCCGTATTCCTTGTAAGTTCTGAGTCAAGCTTAAACCGTTCACTAGACGTTTCTAAATAGACGATACTTATGTTCATCAGATTCCTGTTTTTATTATTATTTTTTGTCATGATTTCATTCAGGCATCACTGATACTGAAAATCAGCATTCACAAACTATAAACCAATCACATATATAACACACGGTGCCGTGTCTAGAGAATGATTTCTGCCAAATTTCCAAAATATGGTAAACAATCGATATGGATGAGCGCATATAATAAGGAATAATAAAGAGATTATCATTATTGTATAGATAATTACTTGGAGTACTTGGGAGAGTAAAGAGAGCGACCCTTGAGGAGAACGAGGCCACTTCCCGGTTTCCAGGCAGCAACTTTCACTGCCTGATTTCCCTCGGGGCTGTACGGCAGGTAGGTATACACACTGGCCCTGGCAATGATATAGGAATACATTGTATTAATACGTAAATGTGTATATGGTGTACATGTTAGAATCTTTAACAAAGTATATTCTTTTCCCGACACCACTTCATCCAATACCTAAATGTTTGTATTACATGTGATGGCACCCCACAGATGCTTCCAAGGTGAAATTATGGAAGTTGGCCCCAATGGTCGGCCTCCCGTCTAAATGAAGCCCCCCGGTGCATGACCAGTTTTTATCCGAGTTAAAATTTGATATGGCTATTTTTTTGCATGGGTATAGTGTAGATGATAGTGTAGTAGACGCAGTATAGTGAATATAGTATAAATACTGGATATAATGTAGGTCAGTGCTCTTAAAAAAATTGTCACACGCCCAGTGTAAAATTATCACATGCACCCATGACTTCTTAAAAACAGATAAAAATCATTCTAAAAGTAATGAATAAGTAAAGCTAATTTCAAATATTCATCCGAATTTAAACATTAGAAATCGACATTAAAACAATCTAACACAAACACAACGAAGAAAACGTAGAAATCCGTGAAAAATTTACTTCCTTAATGTGATGGGTAGACCTATCTGTTGCTTACTATTATGGCCCAAATTAGTACACACGATGGAAGTACTACACACACACTTCAACTGTACTGTTGAGTCTGTCTTTCTTGTTCAACCTTATCAGAGTGGACAATTGTATTTCACACATATAAGTGGTCGTAAAAGGAAGCAACAGGAAAACCGAAAATACATTAATCCAAAATGATGACTAAGTTGACGATTTGTGGTTCATTCTGTGCGTACTATCGCATGAGATGGCAGCTCGATTCTTGTTCACGTGTCAATTTTTACCCTATGATAGATTTAGGCGTCTCAAAAGCAAAAGGAATTTCCACTCAATGCTTTTCTTTCAAAACTTTTAAACTTCTCTTTCGAAAAATTCTGACTAGAATTAGTAGTGCTGCTGTTCTCTTCAATGTGTTTCTACAGTGCTGGAAACCTGTAATAGTTCGGTGATCAACACGAAGGTTGACTTATCACATTAGTCATGACTTTTTTAAATGCATGGATTTGTTCACAATGTCGAAACAAATCATTGTCTCTTCTTTCTAGCTTCAAAATTAATTCATTCAGTCTTGAAAATATGTCGGCTAAATGATATAGCTTCAATAAACAATAACAAGACAAATCGGGAAAATCAAACTTTTTCCCAGAGAAGAAAAAAGGTGATCTTCCTTCGGTGGCAAACCTCTGTCAGGACCCGCCCCGTGACAGTCACAGAACTACAATGTGGTAAGTTCCAAGGTGGAGTAAATGAGAATAATCAGATCCCACTTTAGACATAGAATTTAATAAAGATGACTGTTCATTAAGCTTCCCTACTTTCAGAACTATCATGAAACTATCAGGAAAACCTTGAAGGACAATTCTTCACGGTGGATTAAACAGTGATTCTAATTAATATCATTAACTGACGCCTCAAATCATTCTCACTTCTTTACTATTTCTGCCAATCATGTTTGTTGTACAATCACTTTGAATTCCTTTGCAATTAGTCCAGTCCAATTTTTATTTTCCAACTACATTACGAAGCAGTACTGTGTGTATCCTTGATCCTCTTGTTTGTTAGTAAGGTCAGACAACATTCAATCTCCCATGAAGTCATCTTGACATACACAATCTGGAATGTCAGTGTTCTCCTCAAGTTGGACTGCAAATTTTCCACCACAGTGGATGTGTAACTAGTTGGGATTCTAAATCCTCTGCAACAGTCCATATTCTCAAAGACACCGTGGCATTACGAGAGAGATATTATTCAGTAAAAAAAAATGATCTTAAATTGTATGCACTGTGACTATACAATATCTAGAGTGGCTGGGAGGATAAGGGTTTCAACAACTGTGTAGAACATTTTCTAGTTGGCAATGTGGTATGCAATGAACTATGATGCCAATTGTGCTTTGTCATTCAGAATGGTCGACTTAAGAACTAGTGTTGATAACTTTAATCCATGCTTCTTTCTTAGGAAACATTCAATAGGTTTATCAACGAGTTCTACACTTTTGTAATAACTTCATTACTAAAAACACACTGTGGCTTAGGATCTTATTTTCTCTTCACAGTTGATAAATTCATAATTAAAAAATCATCACAATATTACCTTTTCCACATTTTTGTTGGCAGGTGTTTCGTAATTATGAGGCGGACATCATTACTGACATCTACTGCATCCTAACTGAATTTACTTCGGTTCAGATACAGATGATCAAGTGTCGATAATTTTTCTGGTAACAAAATAATTCATTATTTTCTTAGGGTGAAGTAATAAATTCTGACTGAAGTGGCAGCCATATGTTCTCCTCCTCGGAATAAACACTGAAAGTCTGGATAATACTGTACACGTACAACGAGTCGAGACTTGATGTTCTCCGTGATACGTTTGGTTGTCAACGAAAGTGACTAAAATCCACGGTTTTCAGCCCTAAAAAAAATACATAAATGGCACGAAGTACTGGATATTCAACATAGCAATATTTTGCTTACTAAAAAATACATATGTAAATATATAATCAATATTTTTGTTACAAACAAAGCTGCGGCCACACTAGTGTGTCAACTCTGAAGAAATCCACGGTAGCGTTGATTTTTCAACGAACTCCTCAAATTGTCTACACCTATAACTTATTTGTTGTCGAAACTTGGGACGATACAGAACATCTGAAAATCCACGGCACGGTGGGAAGAAATTTACTATAGTCTGTTGTATTAATAAAATTTACACAGTTCTTATTTTTTTTATGAATGTTTATTTCAGTGAAAAAACAAGATAAAAATGCCATAGTAAATTAAAAATAATAATACGAATGCATCACGACGGGAATTTCATTTGACTCTAGAGTACTTACGTCACTTGTAAACAAACATCATTTGGACTCTACAAATGCGCACCAAATTTCCGTGATGGATACTGCTGGTATTCCTTGGGGCAGAGAGTCTCAAATTGCATTCATTGAAAAAGTAAGGAGTACCACGCAATTTGGAATGATAAAAACCACGATTGAAAGAGGAAATTGATGTAAAGACATTGTTACCAGCTGGGCGCTTGGCCCATGGTTCTTTTCGCCAGTGTGACTCAGTTTTCTGGATTGTATCGTTGACTTATTGCCTGTGGATGAAATGCTATCGTGGATTTATTACACAGAAACTCTAGTGTGACCGCAGCTTAAGTTGTCGCTATAGAGACGACTTGAGGAGTTCGTTGAAAAATCAACAGAACGGTGGATTTATTCTGGGTACTGGGTAGGAAGACTAGTGTGACCACAGCTTTACCTGAGGTTGGGTGGTGTGTCCTCCAGGTTGAGCAAGATGGTGTTTATTGTGTATATTACCTGAGGTTGGGTGGTGTGTCCTCCAGGTTGAACAAGATGGTGTTCATTGTGTATATTACCTGAGGTTGGGTGGTGTGTCCTCCAGGTTGAGCAAGATGGTGTTTATTGTGTATAATACCTGAGGTTGGGTGGTGTGTCCTCCAGGTTGAACAAGATGGTGTTCATTGTGTATATTACCTGAGGTTGGGTGGTGTGTCCTCCAGGTTGAGCAAAATGGTGTTCATCATGGAGAAGGTCCAGTGGGAGGACAGGAGGGCGTGGAGCTGCGGGAGTGGGAGGCTGGTGACCACCAGCAGCTTGGTGGCCCACACCAGGAGGCGGCCCTTGAGGGACCACTCGGCAAAGTTGGCGAGGAAGACCGGGTCGTGACTCACCACCACCACTTGCTTGCACCAAGACCTCATCCTCATCTGTGAAAAGACCAGGTCATAACTCAACCACTAATCACACACATGATAAGCAATCACTTTTGTTTTATTTGTATTTTTTTTTTTTTTGCTTCATGTTGGGAAGAGCTTTTCTTCTCGTTTAGTGTCTTTATTATAGCGATCAAAATACCTTGGAAGTCATTACTTTGTTTCTGTGCATTTCGTAGTTCAGCCAACAAGAGTCTAGGGGGTTGAAATAAGAACCTGAGATTGGGTGCCGGATAGAAACTGTTTTGACTGAAATACTGAAATAGTTAAATAGATCGTGGCAAGAGCATGCTTAGGCAATAAACGGATCACCTGAAGATTTATCCCCCGCTAGCATACTCCACTTGAAGACTAATCAACCAGACGCTACCTGGAGGTTAGGTTAAGTTATATTGTGTCGTATTCAAGTGGAATAAGCAGAGGGGAGAATCTTAAGGTGATCTAAGTAAAACCCTAGTGACTGTAAAACCCCAATGAGAAACCTTGTGATGTCAAGAAAGGTATTAGTGCAGTAATTTGTGAAAATTGCATTAAATTCGTTTCGTTACCTTCAGTGATACTTCGGGGTTATTGTTAAATGAGTTTAATATAACTGTGCGTTAAGAATATAACTAATTGTTAGGGTAAGGTTTGTTTACATTTTAATGTGCACATTTCATGTTGCTGCTGTGTTTAGCTTTTCAGGTAAAAAGTTTCTAATTTTGTAACTCAAGAATGTTTGGTATTGTTTGGTAGCGATTTTTTCCTAATACTAGAACATAAACGTCTGTCAAGTGGCCTTATAGGTAATGGATTGAAGGCCTCATGAAAGAAGCAGGTGGGATAGTGACCTACCTGTCGAGCCTGGTGGAGCAGGTAGGGTAGGAGCGTCAGTGTTACATTGGAATCCTGGTCGTCCACCGCCACCTCGAACACCGCCACACCCAAAGGGGTCCCTCGCACGACACTCTCCTCCTGCGATGTGAAATAAAAGTTCGATTAAATAATTATATCTTTACAGCTATCCTGATTGAAGCCATCAAATACTGATGTGACTCACATAACATTCATTTATTTACCTAGACTATCATCAGGCAGCAAATTCTTTCGTAAGGAAATACCAGCAAGCGGAGGTTCATAAGAAAACAAACATCACCTTGAGGATGGTGGAGGTTGAGGTGGTGCCGTCTGTAATGATGAGGGAGCAGGTGGGCTGAGACACCGCCTCCAGCACGGCGCCCACACCACCACCGGCGTTTTGTTGCCAACCTGCTTATATACATCACCGTGTTAATACCTGTAGGTTATGTATATAAGCTACTGTGCCGAGTAGCATTTATATATGTAATTACATGGCAACACTGCACGTGTTATGTGGAAAATTGCCTCGAGGTTGCCATATGGCAAGGCAGTCTCAGTCTGACTCTGTGGGCCGTGCATGGCACACGCTAGTCACTACTTGTATTTCTCCTATCCGTTAATAAATGGACTTCAGTGTTACCCGGTGTTTCCCTACCCATCACTGCCTTCTTCAGGGAACACTTGGAACCTTCAATACCCAAGTATTTACCCAGAATCAATATTAAAAACTGTACCCCTTATCCGACCCCCACACCGGGCTGGTACAATATCACTAAAACTAATACAACCTTCCTCCGTCAACATTACATTCACAACAGTGTGCTATTGTCTACTGGAAGGTGAACTTACTGTAATGTAGGAGGTGGTTGTCCTTATCGTTAGCCACCAGGAGGTTCACCATGGCCATTATTACTATTACTCGCACCATCGTCAGTCTCCACCATTTCATCTTCCTGACGCGTCCTTCTTACCGGAGACCTGTGGGGAAGAATTGTGGTAACTTGGAGGACACGAGAGTTACCAAATGTAATGTTAGTTTCCTTTGACAAAGCAACAAAGATATAAATCACCTGACTCTTAACGACAGAGTTTAATGAAGTGATTTATTTATTTGCTAAGAGGCAATAGTCGTTGAAGCACAGAAATATGCCGAAAATCTCTCCACATGCTCGAGATTCTGCCGAACTACTGGAGCTAGTCTACCAAATGCTCGGCCCTGGCTGTGCTATCATTTGGGATTGGTGCAGTTCCGAAGAGGAGTATAAAGGAACTAGTATCTTGACTATCAGTGATGTAGGGTTTCGAGGCAGTTTTTCGGGTGTCTTAGACATCCTTAGTATTGGATTTTTGCTAGAGACCTTTTGAGACCACATATTAATTAATGAGTTTTCAGGTCTGTTAGGAGGGAGTGGTCTGCTAGTGAAGTTTGGGTTCAGGTAGTGGAAGTTACCTCACCATTAATCCACTACGTGAGTGATTGAGTCCAGGAAGAGTTGATTAACAAATGTAGGGATTCCTCGGGTCACAATCAGTTGTCTGAGGCAAGGTGACCCATTGTATCTCAGGCTTCTGACTCAACTTGTGCTTTATATTACCGCGCACTGGTTATTATAATGTGGTGAATTTATGATTCAGTGGCCTTTTTTTACCAAGGCCAATTTTTAACACTAAGTATATCTATGCTGGTAGTCCCAGGTGCACCACCTCCCCCAAGGGCCAACCCTGACTTGACTCATCACAGTACGTAGTCGTGTTGACGCTGAAGACCTGACCCATGATATAACAGCCACGAAGGCGTTGCAGTGGGCTCCTAATAGTTGTCGAGCCCTGAGTACGTGCCATGTTTAATACTACTGTATACTGGTGATTTTAGTATTGTACTTTACTGTGCTTTATTACAGCGCATTAATTATAACACTGAGCTGTAGGACACCGTTAAAACAGTACCTAGACACAATCAACGAGTCTCGAAACAGATGTGACTCCTGTCACTTCTGGCAGCATAACAAGGCCGAGTTTCCGTCACTAGTCCATCTGGCGCTATCCATTCTAACCGTGATTGACTCTAGTGCTCTAATGAACGTGCAATTAGCCGTGGGGGATAATGAGATAATAAGCAGGGCCCCATGCATGCCGAGCATCAGCAATGTACTGAGCATTCTATTTTAAACATCCTTAAGGTATTGAACGCTTCAGGTGCTAGATGATTATAAAAATAAAGTACCTTGATATAATCAACGAGCCTGATGTAAGAGATATGAACACAATAAGATATTATATATGTATATTTAATTACTCATGTATGCGTCTTGAAAAAATAAAACCACAAATAATTTGGTAGTTGATACACATGCATACATATATTAGTTGGTAAATATTTCCATGTTTTAAGACAACACACACTCTTACCCATCCATGGATTTCAACACCTCAGAAATATTATACCTGTATGAACCGAAGTTTTTACCTTTAAATTATCCTATACACAGGCATACAAATTTATGTTAAATATTCGATAGGTCTTCGTCTCGATTTGTAAGAGTCTCTGATTTAGTGGACTCTACTACATCACTGGACGGCACACACAAGCCAACACCCAGGTGAATAAAGAAGCACTCATTTACACTTACAAACAGACACGTAAATGAACGCATATGTATACAAAATAAAGGCAATTATTCATATACACAAATAAACATCTTCGCATTTGCTGACAATATAAACAAATTAGGGAAAAAAATACTAATAAAAAAACATGCAAACGAGCATTCACACACAACACAAAATCTCACATAAATGCAATTAAACAAATAAACAACAACAAAAATTAGGCACATCAAACAAATAATCAAATAATTCATAATAAATAAGACAAACACAAACGAATGAACCTACATATGAATACACAAGCAAACACCTTAACACCTAAAACACACAGAACAAATAGAACAATCACAGAAATAAACACCAACAAATAAAGACAAAAACACACGAACAAATAAAGAAAAAAAAAAAAAATACAATGACATTAAAACAAATAAATAAAAGATAAAAAACACACAAGCCAAACAACAAACACAAACAAATAAGTCAATAAACACTGACAAATAAACACTAACACTACATACTCTCTTATAGTCCCCCACACACATGATTATTAATTTTCTTCCTTCTAATTCAATACCAAATCTAAATTAACATGTCAAAATAATTAACCGTGTGCTTCAATAACGCACAGAAGTTCTCTTTTAGTGATGCGGGCGAAACAAAAGGCCGGTTCATATCGGGATATTTTTTTATCGGAAAATTACGAAAGTGTTTGTTCTGTTACTTGAGCTGGGAATCCAGTGTAAGAACGGAGAATGAGAGAATGTGTGATAATTACAGTATTCACAAAACAGACGACAATAACAACCTAACTTGTATCACTCTAATATATAACCTAACCTAAATTGTTAGGTTATATGTTAACTTAGATTGCTAAGTTAGCTTGGCTTCAGTAAATGTTAGGTTATTTTTTTATTTCATCAGTATTATTATTCACACCTGTTCCTCCACTAGATATACATGCTGAATATTAAAGAAACTTTCAAATAAAATTTCCTAAATAGAAGTGAACCGCTCTCCATTAGTTTATTCCCAGCGAAGTTTCAAAACTATTTCCATTTAATTTAAAAATGTTAAGTGATCCCGGTAACAAACCAGTTAGTTACCTTAGCCAGCCATCAGACACAAATATAACCCATAACTATTTTGACACTATTTTAGGTCAATTTGTAGTTTCGACCAACCACGGCTCTCTGGTTGAACATTGTGCTTTTCTGATGTTTTAGACAATTTTAAGACACTGTTCTATGACGTTTCCCTTGTAAATCACCTAAAATTACTTAACCTAACCACCTAACCGGAGGGGGGGGGGGCCGCCTCCATGGATTCCCCGGTATATTTAAGTCATTTGCGATGGAAACGCCAAAGAAGAAAGTGTCTAAGAATTGCCTAAAACATCGGAAAAGCACAATGTTCAACCCGAGAGCCGTAGTTGGTCGAAACTACAAAGTGACCCTA